CAAGCCTTTCCAATATTGACAGACCCTTTATTTTGATATAAGCTATAACAATACATAATAGATATACATGTAAACTCTGATAAGATAGATACTAGGTGCAGATATGAAACCAGTTGCATATATTATCTTTTAAAATCAAAACATGCTTTCTATTGAAATTAATCAATTCATGAATTGATGAGCCGATGCCATATTTATACAACCTTCGCACAATAGCTCTTATAATAAACATGCAGTAGAAAAGGTATCCATATAAGCATATCAGCCTTTGGCATTCGACCATCAACTTTTATATATAACAGATCAAAGAAAGCATATGCATAAAACTAACCCTAAATATTAGTGGTTCATATATAATAGAAAATTTTACTCCACTGAAATAATCCAATCCATCATATATATCATACCAAACTAGGGTTTGGTTAATATGCATACTTTGGTTCTGTTGGGATGTCAACTCTATCCCACGAAGTCAGGGATAGATTAGCAGCCAAGAATATGATTTGATTGTAATTGATTACAGTTGACTTTGTACATTATATTTACTTGATTGTATTCTCTGATTATAAGATCACAGTTGTATATATATTTCAACTCAATGAATGAAATCCTCATTCTGGCAAATATATTGTTCAGTCATTATTTTACATGGTATCGCAGAGCTAGGGTAAACAAAAGACCTTAGTTTTCTTCCCGTTGCTTATTTTTCCTTTGTCGGTGCCAACTTTTAGCCATGGCCAATGAACATAACTCTAATAGGAGTGAACTTGATGCTTCCAATCCCTATTTTGTCCATTATGCCGACCATCTCAACGGAGACAACTACGCCACTTGGTGTTGTTCTGTGAAGCTTTCTCTGAATGCGAATAACAAGTTAGGTTTTGTGGATGGCACACTAAAGGTTCCTGATGAAAAGAAGAAACCAAATTATTATGCTTCCTGGAAGTGATGCAATGACATGATCGTTTCCTGGATTTTGAATTTCGTCGACCAGTCTATACATGATAATGTGGTTTACTATACCACAACCCAAACAATTTGGCAGGATCTTGAATATCGTTTTAGCTAAGGTAATGTACTTATAATTTTTCAAATTCAACGAGATATAGCTTCTATCTCTCAAGACAAGTTATCCGTTGCTGCTTATTATACCAAGTTGAAAGGTCTGTGGGATGAGCTTGCATCTTATGACAATCATGAGTCATGTACCTATGGCGTTTTGAAGAAACAAGGTGTACAAATAGAGAAGACCAAACTAATGCAATTTCTTATAGGCTCAATGAGCCTTATAGTGTTGCATGATGTAAAATTTTGATGATGAGTCCATTGCCTTTTATGCGTTCAACATATTCCGTGATTGTTCAGCAAGAAAAACAGCGTGATGTGAGTGATTCACGCGAAGCTGCAGAGGTTGTTGCAATGGCAGTTTACCAAGGGCAAAAGTCAGAATGACAATAGCTATTCTTCCCGTAAACCACTTCATCGCACTCATTGTGATGCAGATCACCACACCATTGACACATGCTACCAACTGCATGGATATCCCCCGAACATCGCCTTCATAATCCCAACAAAGGTGGTGGACGTGGCAATAATGGTGGACGGTGCAGTAAGCGTAATGGAGGTTCTTTTTTTGCCAACAATGCCACTATTGGCGATGTTTCCATGCAATAACTGCACTCAGTAGTACCTGGCCTATCTGATTATCAGTTTCAACAAATTTTGTCCATTATGAACGGCAATGGAACAACACAGAACTTTCCAAAACTAATGTTCCTTAAGCCAATGTCGTTGGAAGTTCATCGGGTTTGCCAAATATCTCGTAGCACTTATGTCGATGGATAATCAACAGTGGTGCTACGGATTATATTACATCTTCACACAATTTACTCACTCATTGCACCAAGAATATCACCATACCACTTGTTTAACTACCTAGTAGAGAAAAAGCTCCCAACACCTCCATTGGGAGTTTGTCTTTAACTCCTTTGATTTATTTACAAAATGTCTTATGTGTGCCTACTTTCAAAGTTGATTTGATGTCTGTAAGCCAAGTAACCAGTGAAATGGCTTGTTCCTTAACCTTTTACCCTACTTGGTGTATTTTGCAGGACTTGGCTACGAAGAAAACGATTGGTTTGGGTAAACTACGTGGAGGACTCTATTATTTGGTGGCTTTAGTTTCAGCAAGGCCGCAACCCTCTGCCCAACCTTCTTGCAACCTTGTCACCTCATCCACCGAGTTATGGCACCGACGTTTGGGCCACCTATCACCCTCTAGATTGAAGTTTATGGCAAAAACTTTGTTAAATTTCCCTTTTCATTTGAATTATGCTTGTGATGTATGCCCTTTGGCCAAGCAACATCATCTTCCTTTTGGCATTAGTTCGATTAATACTAAGCAATCTTTTGAACTTATTCATTGCGACATTTAGGGCCCTTTATAAAATCAATTCTCTTTCTGGAGCCAAATATCTTTTAACTGTGGTGGATGATTATTCTAGGTTTACATGGGGTTTCCTTATGCACCAGAAAACTGAAACACACAATTTACTTAAACAATTTCTTTCTTTTGTGCAAACACAATTTCCACACACAAGTGAAAACCATTCGAACCAATAATGGTGGAGAGTTACTTTGTTCAAGTTTTTTTTTCCAGGGATATTGGCATTGTTTCCAACATTCATGTGTTTATACGCCTTGGCAAAATGGTGTTGTAAAACGCAAGCACCGCCACATTCTTGAAATGGCGCGTGCCTTTCGTTTTCAGGCTCGTCTTCCATTACATTTCTGGGGGGATTGTGTTCTAACCGCTGTCCATCTCATCAATAGATTTCCAACCCCCATTCTCCAATACAAAACACCATATGAAATCCTTCATGGTAAGTGTCCTACTTTCACTCATATACAGGTTATGGTTATCTTGCATACACAATAAATACACATGTTTCTCATAAGTTTGATTCCCGTGTAAGGCGTTGTGCTTTTTTGGGTTACCCCCTTGGTCAAAAAGCCTACAAACTCTATGATTTGGGCACCAAACAAATTTTTACAAGCCGGGAAGTAATTTTTCATGAAAATACCCATCATTTTGAAACCTTACCCATCACTACTCATTCAGACATGGCGTCATTCCACACTCTTAGTCAAACTACCTCTCACACTTACTTTTATCCCTACCTTACTAGCCTTAGAAGAGTCTTACTCATCATCAACTTCCTCGAAAACTTCTTCATCCTATATAGAAATCTGTACCACAGTTCCCTCTCCATTCACATCCCCTAGAGAACTCTCCCTTATCGAAAACTCTAGTCCCACTGTTGACTCTTCCCACTTATTTGCTGACATCGACACCACCCCTACCTAGCTTGCCATCAGCACATCATTATCACCTATTGGGCGACCTCTGCGCCACCACACCGCCCCTGCCTATCTCAGTGATTATGTCTGCTCACAAGTGATGTTGCCCACACCTAAACCATTGCCATCTTCATTATCAAGCTCCACTCCAGGTACAAGGTATCCCCTGAGCCATTTTCTTTCTTATCATCGTTACTCACCCAAACATTTTGCTTATGTTAGCCATGATGTGGAGCCTCGTACATATGTTGAGGCTGCATTTCATCCTTATTGGCAGGTTGCTATGTAATCTAAGTTACAAGCGTTGGAAAAGAATCACACTTAGACTATCACTACTCTTCCTCACGACAAGTTTCCCATTGGTTGTAAATGGGTTTACAAAATCAAACGACGTTCTGATGGGACCATTGAACACTACAAAGCTCATGTGGTAGCCAAAGGCTACACTCAGATGGAGGGTGTCTATTACCATGACACTTTCTTACTCACATCTAAGATGACAACCATCCGTTGTTTACTGTCCATTGCCTTCGCCCTTAATTGGTCCATTTATCAGCTCGATGTTAATAACGCATTTTTACATGGCGATCTTTATGAGGAAATTTATATGTCACCACCTTATGGTCTTCTGCGACAATGGGAGAGTTTAGTATGTCATCTCCACAAGTTGTTATATGGCTTAAAGTAAGCTTCTCGCAAATGGCTTGCCGAGTTCTCTGCTACCATTAGAGTTGCGGGTTTTGTACAATCCATAGCAGATTTCTCACTTTTCACTCATCGAAAAGGGAACTCTTTCGCGTCTCTTTTGATTTACATGGATGACATCATTATTACTGGGAATAATTTGGCTGTCATTTCTTCCTTTAAAGCTTTTTTGCACAGTCATTTTTGAATCAAGGATCTCGAAGACTTGAAATATTTTTTGGGAATCAAAGTGTCACGTTTACATGAAGGTATTTCCATTTCACAATAGATATACACTTTGGAGATATTGAAGAATGTTGGCCTATTGGGAGCACAGCCAGTTGACTTCCCAATGGAACAAAACTTGAAACTTTCAGATAAAGGGGAACTACTCAAAGACCCATCACAATATAGAAGGATTGTGGGGCGCTTGATCTACTTGACAATAACTCGTCTTAACATTATTTATTTAGTGCATGTTTTGAGCCACTTCATGCATGAACCACACAAACCACATATGGAAGTAGCACTCTGCATTCTAAGGTACCTCAAAGGCGCACCAGGTCAAGGCCTTTTCTTTTCCTCACAAAACAAATTAGCTTTGAGGGCTTACTATGACTCGGACCAGGCAAGTTGCCCAATTACTCGAAGGTCTACTACAAGTTATTGCATATTTTTTGGATCCTCCTTAATTTATTGGAGATAAAAAAGATAGAAGACAATATCATTATCTTCGACCGAAGCTGAGTATAGAGCTATGACAGGTGCTTGTTGTGAGTTATCTTGGCTTCGATAGCTTTTCACACAAACTAGGCCTTGGTTGGTAACCCGATTTCAACCCATCGGGCCCAAATGTAATACCAAGCCCATTATGAATCAGCAACCGAAAAGCCCAAAAGAAAACCGAATTTGTCTTTAAAAGAGTAGAAAAGAGGAAATTCAAGCTCCGTGTCGTGTCTACTAAGCCAACGGAAAAATAAAGGAATTAAAAAAAATTAAAACCATTAGCAGTCGCCGTAAACGCGGTTGGGGAAGAAACCAAGGCCACCGTGGAAGAAGGAAGGAGAGACACTAGGCTGCCTTATCTTGCACTTGTTCAGGTAAGTCGTCTTGCCGGTGCCATCGCCTCCTCTGGTGCTGATTGCTTATTGCTGGCTCGATCTAATGCTTTCGCACTTGCTTTGCCCTCTTCCTCTTGGTTTGCTTAATTTTTTTTCAAAATTATCTGAAATCTTCAAAAATTGTGCGGATTTGCAGAAGCCATCTGACGCATTTGGTGTCTGGACTGAAACACGGTCGTCGGGAACGCATTTGGTGTCTGGACTGAAACACGTTCTCCTCTGTAATGGAAAAAAAACTCTGAAGATTGTATATCTTGGTTCCATTGACCTCACTTGTTGAAAGCGACGGCAACGAAGAAGAAGAGAGTTTACAGCGTTACTACTATTATTTATTACTAGTACTTAGATTGTTGGCACCGAGGAAAGAAGAGTTGGGATGATCTATTATGGCCCAGCAGTCCTCTCGTCTCCACCGCCTCCTCACTCTCTTGGACAGTATCCTTCAACCTTTTCCTTTGCTTATATTTTCAGCTGTATTAAATTAAATTGTTGTTGAATGCATGTTGTTTAGTTTGGTTACGGATCACCCCCTTTCCTCAATCTCCCAATTCTTTGGTTTCAAAGTTTCAAACTGACTTTTTCTTTAACCCAATCCTGATAGCTGGTTCAACCCAAGCGACCAGATTTACAGCTGCTCGGCAGATAGGGGACATTGCCAAAGCGCATCCTCAGGACTTGAGCTCTCTGTTGAAAAAGGTACTACTGACTTCCACGGTGGCTTTCGTGCAGTTACACCATGCACACTATATCATCTGCATCTTTGCTGCCTTGAAAATGTAACTAAACCAATGAAGAAGTTGAGTTTTATTCGAAAATCAACATTTCAACTACTTCATTTCTCTGGTGACTAAGCTTAAACATGTTCGCCATTTTTTGTTTTTAGAGAGCTAGGTAGAGCTTCACTTTTTTCCGTTTTCATTCAAGATAGGGAGAAACCGGTTAAGGTCTGATATATGGTAATGAAAAGATAGAAATCCAAGAAAGAATACGAGGGCTGCTAAGAGCTAACATCCACTAATATAAATTTCTAAGTAAAAGTATTTTTAACCCTATATATTAATTTCAAATACCTCCAAATGTCTGGTAGTGCCTTTCACGCAAAATTTGCTATTCTTATGATTGTGGCATCAGCCCTTCCAACAAACCAACAAATGTACAACTCTATTGAGCGCACAACACAATGGATACCAAATAGATGTACAACTTTAGCGCACAACACCAATAAACCAGCAAATTTACAACTTTAGTGTCTTACAAGAAAATTTAGCTTCCCACTTTCTTTATACATTCACCACCAAGTAAAGTTAAGTTATTTTCAATGTGCTTAAACAAGAGCCTTATATTAAATATAAACTTCAACAGTAGCATCTCTATTGTCAGGAATCCGAAATAAAAAAGAAACATTTATTAAAGGACAGCTAACCCAAAGTCATGCCAAACTGTACACGAACTACTAAGAGAATATACACGAACTTCAACAGTAGCATCTCTATTGTACACGAACTACTAAGAGAATGTGAAATACCACAAAACCTCAAAACCTGTCCCAGCCATTTTGAATAACACAACGCATCTGCATTTATTCCTTTCATCTGTTATTCAACTGTGAGTTAAAACTGACTGCCATGATTTTTGCGTTTCCTCTCAAAAGAAAGAAAAATATATGAAACCGATTTCTCATTAACTGTTGTATAACTTTCTCTTTGTTTTGGTTTTTGTTGATAGATGCTCTGGCCTATGGTTGGTTTGTTTGATGTAAAAAGTTTTATGTCAGTTTCTGTTGTAGGGTAGATTTTTGTTTCTTACATATTCCATTTTGAATTTATTAATTTCTTTTTTGTGAAAAAATTTGTCTTTAACTTATGTAACTTGCGAGGTTAGGTCTCCCAATATCTTCGTAGCAAAAACTGGGATACAAGGGTTGCTGCCGCTCATGCTGTTGGGGCTATTGCTGAGAATGTGAAGCACACCTCTTTGATTGAACTCTTTACTTGTATTAAATCGAAGGTGGCTGATGCTGGGATATCTGGTTCTATTGAAGATATGGTTGCCTTCCCTATTTTTGATTCTAACGTTGCTGGCACGTCATTTAGAAGGTGGGATTATTGTACACTTGTAATGCTCTTGTTTGGTTGGCTTTTGATTTGTGCCTGTGAATACACGAGTTTTCTTGGAGACATGGCTGTTTATCTAACTTTGAATTTTGTTAACAGCTTTGATCTCAAAAAGGTTTTGGAGTTTGGTGCTCTGTTTGCATCTGGGGGACAGGTAATGCAGTGTCTATTGTATGTTTGTTGACATAATTGCACTTATGTGAAGAGGGAAGATGTCTAAATTTCACTTTTTGATTATGTAATTTAAATAGGCAGTTTCTTTAAATTGTCCATGTCATGTGCAATTATCATTTTGTGGTGTTAATGTTGTTCGTTTTTTAGACAAGATAATTGTGGGAAACATTACAAGATAGTCTAGACATTTTTTACTATTTATTTATGTATCTGTGCCACATTTTAGACGCAAGATATATTAAAACAAAATAAAGAGATCAGAGATGGAGTTATAGTTCTTCTCTCCCTATTTTATTTTATGTTTGTTTAACCTATTTTAATGATTATTCATATCTAAATTTCTAAAAGGAATTATGTTGCTCATTGATTGTGCTAGGTGATCTATGGTGATCTATGGCTTCATAAAATGAATGGATAAGTGGTCTGATTAAGTGATATATTAAAAAGGCTGACACAGTTTAATGTTCTTAAGGATCACTTTTTTCTGAAAGAAATCTCGGCTTCTTATAAAGATATAGAGAATTGTGGATACTGCCTTTTGAATTGCAGATGCTTGTTTGTGCAAGAGGATGGCCTAATTTGGTTAATTTTTTTGTGGGCTTTTGATTATGTTTCTTTTTTTTTTTTTTTTTTTTTTTCTGATTGAAAAAAATATGCTTTGTCTGAGTCTTCATTTCTTCTTTATAATGGATGCTTTTCCCATTTAACAGGAGATGATGTTGGCAATGATCATATGAAAGCCCGAGGGAGAAACTGGCTCGACAGAAACAAACACTCCTTTCGAACTACTTAGTATAGTTTATGTTTTTTGCACTGATAATATACCGGGCCAAAAAGGAAAAAAGATAAAATCCTTTAGGTTGTTGTGTTGTAGGGTGGACAGTGTATGATTTGTTGGGGAGAGTGGTATGGTTTAATTTTTTAAAGTTCATTAATAATACTGATAAGATGACTTGGTCTTCACCTTATGTTCTAGTGATTGGATGGAAAAAGACAATCACTAACACTGTCCACTTGAGAATCGTTTAGCTATATTGGATTGGAACAATGTAGTCTGAACGCATATCTCTGATTCTTTCTTATTCTGAGTTTAGGCCTTGTTTGTGGTTTTTTGGTGCCACATGGTGTGGGGCCCACCTTTCTCTGTCTAGCAAAAACACACACCACCAAATGTCATTCACCCACCCACCCATAACTATAAAAATCTCCACCTGCAAGCCAATGACACATGTACTCGCCCCTCCACGACACCACGCTATGAAGAATGTGGAATTTTTTTTCCTTAATGTTGATCTTTTTTAGGTGGATTCATACAGCCAACTCGTTTGATTTTTTTTTGTTTTAATCTCTTTTTTCTGTTGTTTTTTCCTCTCATATGATAATGGGTAATTAAAAAGAAGAAAAAACATAAAGATCGGGTCGAGGACTAATTCTGAAACACACCAGCACCCAGCAAACATGGGAAGAATAAAAACCCTTATCCCCACCTTCCAGTAAGCGCTTGCAAAGGTAATTTGAACTCTGAGGAAAACAAAAACAATAAACCAGAGTCTTTGCGGGATGAAACCTAATGTCAATCTCGTTTAATTCCAATCCATTCGTAAGACCAAAAGCAGAAAGCTCAACATTGCAAGCCACAATAACACTGAAAAAAAGATCAGGAGAAACAACAGCTGTCCAGTCCCTCTTCCCTCTCCAGAGGATCTTAATCTTAAACAAAAATCATGAGCAGAGGTAGTGTCCATAAAGTAAAAAAAAGCAGAACGTGACATGATCACCCTAAACCAAAAACCTCTAAAACTCCATAAAATTAACAATTAGCAGCTTTTCGGTTAAGCCAGATATCTGAAAAAGAACAATCTCTAAACTCAGGAAACGGAAGCCCATAATGACGACCATTACGGTCTTTATCCATACTCTTTTATTCCTGTGTCTGTGAGGTTCCTCAAAGATCAGCCTATTTATTTCATTGGATGTTGCCCAAAATCGCTGAAGATACCTGGCTTTCTTCTTCCCATTTCCAGGTAATTTATGGTTCTTTAATATAAAAGAACAATCTCTGGGCATAACCCAACTGACAAACCTTAGCTTTATTCTCTATATCGTACTGATATAGATGGATACAATGAAGCCAAAAGTCTTGATATGTAGATATCACCGTTTTTGCTAATCCATGCAGTGCTGTACCAAGAGGGTGTTGGGTTTTTCCAGCCCATGTTCCAGCCATGATGAGTTGTCCTAAGTCTATTAGGAATTATAGACTTAGAAGATTGAGTGGTTTTCCCAATTGGAGTGGTTTTCTTAATTAGAGTGGTTTTCTCAATTGTACCCAATTTAAATTGTTTTCCCATTTGGAGTTAGTTTCATTGGAGTGGATTCATAATAGATTCCAATAGGATTAATAATCCTTTTGAAGAAGACCTTTATTTGTCTATATAAGGGGCTATTGCACTGGTTTTGAAATTTGGGGCAAACAAATTTTGTAATACCACTAAAGGGTAATAGACTGAGAGAATATTGTAAGGGTAAGGTGTGTGCAAGAGCAAAGAAAAGAGTGTGCAAGAGCAAAGAAAAGAGTAAGTGTATTTCTTGTTCTTGTTCTTGTTCTTTCAGGTTTTTTCGTCAAGCCTATTCTAGAGACTTGGCAAGATTATTGTGTTGTACTCATATTTGATATAGTGAAGATTGTGTGTCCCGTGGAGTAGGCCATATGGTGAACCACGTATCTCGTGTTATTTTGTCTTGGTTATTTTTTTTCCCGATGCCGTGTTTGTCTGTTTTTTATTCTTTTTTTTTTTTTTTTTTTTTTTTTTTCTTAAACACGATATTCTCAACAGGGGGGAAGACCATTGTTAAATACCAGAATATGTAGTTAGTGGTGTTTTATTTTATTGGTAATGTAGTCATTGTGAACATTAATTATGGTGTGCTAACTTGCAATTCAATCTCTTGGGTCTAATAGAAATCTCTCTGTTTATTATACAGGTTTGGATATATGTGAGCGGTTCATGGATGTGAATGATATGATAAAAGATGAAGACCTTATTTTACACAACTCGCATGGGAATGGGACTAATCCAAGAGTTTATACATCACATAGTATTCAGCAATTAGTTGCAAATATGGTTCCTAGTGTCTTATCAAAAAGGCCAAGTCCCAGGGAATTGAATCTTTTAAAACGAAAAGCAAAAATCACTTCGAAAGACCAGTCAAAAGGTTGGTCTGAGGATGGGGATGTGGAGGTGTCATGTGCTCAAAATATACCACCAAAGGGGGCATGTCCTGACTCATTCGGGACTAATAAGGTACTAGGTTGCCTACTGATTATTATTATTTTTTTTTGGTACTAGCTGATGTGAATGTTGTATGCCATTTCATACAAACGCTTCTTAATTGGTTGTAATAAAATATGAAGTGTTGAATAATATATATTTTGAAGGAGTGTCATTGAAAAAGTTTGTGGAGTAAACTTCAAGAGTAGGCAATTGAGGGACACGCTGTATTTGTTGGATAAATTTTGCATGCAGTTTTCATGATAAGGTTGCTTGAATTATCATTTAAGTTTTTTATATATAATTAAGCCTTGTTAAGGGGAGATAAGGATCATGAAGGGGATGATTATAGGGGCGAAGAAACGAGGAAATATAATTAGTTATTTATGTATTATCATAGTTCATCAATGATTTAAATGACATTTGTATAGGAATAATTTGGTTATGAGCTTATGATAGCTCAAAAGTTTTCAACTTGAAGGTTTACTCTTCTACTAGCTATAGGTTATTGATGCACTGGTTTGTTTGGGATTTGATACTAGGTTTCACAAGATTTTAAAGGCTGATCTCTACATGCTATTGAATTATTCATTTTCGCATTTGCTATTGTTTTAAGAGAGGTTACATCTTTAATAATTCAGGTGTAAATTTCCTAACCATTGTTCTGTTGCAGAATAAATTTGGTTTCTTCCTTCTCACTAGTTTCGCCTTTGTGGGGAATAAGTTTCTGCATTTAATGTTTATTAGCTATGCAGGAATTTTTGGACCTTGATAATCACGAAGAAAAAGTTGAACATGATGGAGAAGGGCGGTGGCCTTTTCATAGCTTCGTTGAGGAACTAATCCTAGATATGTTTGATCCAGGTTGGCTTCTATTATTTTATTTCTAGCAGGGCTTAGGCTGCCTTCTCAGTGTAGCCTTTAAGTGGCTGTCCTGTTTTTCTTCATCTATCTATGTGTATATATGTATCTATATATATATATATATATATATATTGATAATATGCTTTTATAATTGCTTTTAAGTGATATTTAGTCTTACAATATTGTTTTTAATTTTTTGTTTTCTAAGTTTGGGGAGGAGTATGATAGATGATGATATTTAAATTCATAGGTGCCTGGACTTTATGCCTGACTTGAGCTGAGGGTGCAATGTTGGTGAATTAGAAAATAATGCACCGTCATCTAACTAGAAGAGCATGTTAAAGATTGATTGGCAGAATAGAAGAGTTGTTTTGATATTTGGATGGATACCAAAGCAAGTTTATGTTGAATAGAAATGAAACAAGTCTGAACAACAAATGGGACAGAGTTTTAATCTCATTTATGAACTGTTAAAACAAGCAAAGAGCCTTGGTTTTTGGTCTCCAGTAACAATAGTTAGGTTGTTTAAGAAAATGGAGGCTGATGTCTTCTCTAGTAGGAGTGGAGTTGTAAGGCCAGGCAAACAGGGATGGTCAACTTCAGTTCAGAAAACTTTGAAGTGTTGCAAAAAGCTCAGAAAAAGATATGAAACTGGTCAACTGGCTCCTTCTAAAAATTGTGAATTCTTACAAGAAATGTGCTGCAATTAATTCTTGTTTGTGTGTTAAATATATGTGACCTAGTGTGACCGGTAACTTTTTTCATTCTTTCAGTAAGAGCATTCTGCCTTTATCCAAAAGAATAAAAAAAACAAAAAGTAGGCATGCTAATTTTAATTTGTTAATTTTAATTTATGGATTTAGTACAGTTTTGGAAGATTATGTCTCGATCAGGTATGATCAAAATAATTTTTTTTGTTTTTCAAGCATTGGTGGGTACTGTTTTGGATTATCCTGATCATCCACTTTTAGTACTGAAACCTGTGAAAGCATTTGGGATGCTTGTGTGAAAAATATGTAAATGCACTTTATTTTCATAAACACTGAACATCTTGCTGATTTGTGCTGTAAATGTCAGCTATGTGCATTACTTTAGGTTAATTTTTTTGGTTTGGTATTTATGCTTCTGATATTTTGATTTTAGTGTAGACCAGAAGGAAATTCGTCAGGAATTGGGTATTAAGTATTAGCTGTGGCAGGTAGTATTTGTTTCTGTTTGCAGTATTTTGAGATAATTTGCGATTTGCTGGAGTACCATGCATATTTTGGACATTACTAAATGAAACAATGTGTTGTTTGATGTGTCATGTGTTATTTTTTTTTTTACTATTTTCCATAATATAGAGCTCAAAGTTTTATGATGCGGATAATAGTTTTTGTGGTGATTCTTTGTACTTCAGGTATTTAGAAGTTGAGGTATTAAGTAATATTTGGATGTTTGAACATTTCTTTTCGATCTGTAAATGAATAAACAAACAGGATCTATATGGAATCCATAGATTCTTTTTCTTGATGGATTTTTTGCATCCTTTTAAATTTCCTTAAAGAAATGACATGCAAATAAATAAAGGGTTTCTCACATGTAAGCCCTTGATAACATTACGCTCACACTTCAAACTCAAACTTTAGAAAACAGCCTGCTGATTTTGCGATGAGAGAAGGGCACCAAGGGAAGTTCACAAGTAATAATCAATTAGAACATGGTAAGTGGATAGCCAAGGGGTTTTTGACCCCTCCAATTTAGCCCTGTTAAGTGTTTGTTTATAACACTTATTGTTGTCATGGTGTTTGTTCTAATTTACTGATAATGAGCCATAGGTTTATTTTTATGTATTTTAGTGTGAGGTATGCACAGCGCAACTGGTATAATTTCCATTACTCTTAAAGGAAAGATGGGTTGCAGTGTCTATTGGTGGCTGCTCCCCCGGTTTGCATCGTTATTATCCCTAACTTTACCGCCTAAGTCCATTATTTGGTCGGGTCAGGCTTTATGGACCCATCTATCTGAAATTTTATCTCAAAAGTCCTCAATGTATATTAGGAAGACCTCATTCTTAATATACCCTAGTATGGACATTCACTTCTGTAATATGGGACAATTTTATTTAATACACCATTCCTTACATTCTCCACCTTGGATCAAATCACAATTCCTCGTTCAAGTCCTATTGAATTATCATAACCGTCCATCCCTAGGTATCATCATCCCAATTTGCTGGAAAATCTCACGGGCAACTCCATCTTGAGGATTGATTGGTCCCTAGGTATCATTATCGCATTAAGATTTTCTCGAGTCTGCTCCACCTATTGGGTTTAGCCATCTGACCCTATGGCTGCGCCACCTCAAAGATAATAATGAGCCTAGTGTCCCAGCCTAAACTGTGGGATCTGGTTCCACTTGTTTGTGAACCACTTCTTTCGGCCCTTCCCAAGTTGCATCAATATTTCCCTTACCTCCCTGCTTAGGTCCAAGTTTGGGTTGTGTCACGGACCTACAGTCCATTGCCCCATCCAGATGTGAGGTTTCATCTCAAAACATCTTGGTGAAATTTGGGGAGGGCTCCACTTTTTATTTTATTTTATTGAAGAGCTTCCACTTAAGGCACTGTAATATGGACAATTATATTTGATCCACAGTTTCTAATGGGTATGTTTAAGGAATTGTTTTTTTTCTTTGGTAAGAAATAGAATATATGTATTAATAAAAGTAGTAAGCAGAATATAAAAAATGGGGAGGGCTCCAAAAATTGAAGTCCTTGCGTGGTAAGTGGCTATTGGGAAGGTCAATACTTAAAAGCGACGGTGGTGTTGTCTGTGTAAATCATCGGAGGAGAGCGTCAATCTTGTTTTTCTACTTTGTTCTTATTGCATACAGCAAAGCTGTGGTTGGAAGTTTAAGGAATTTAGAGCTAGCTGGGTTATTCCAAGGGGATGCTTTGAGCTTCTAAGCACCAAGTTGGAGGCTCTAGGATCTAGGTAGGGGGAAGAAAGCTAAAACTTTGTGGGGGCAGTTTGGTGTTGGTAGTTTGTTGGAACATTTGGTTGGAGTGTAATAGAAGAATCTTTGAGGACTATAAGGGAGTGGGAGTAGATGAACTATGGGATAGAGTTAAATGTTGGGCAGCTCTTTGGGCTTGAGTGACGAATGAGGACTATTCTCTATGGATGTGTTAGCAGCTATAATTGAGTTTTGGTTCAGTTTTGATTTTTGTAAATTTGTCCTTGAGAGGTTTCGGCTAGTATTTTAGATGGTGAATTTCTTATCTGTTTGATGTAACTACTGTTAATAAAAGTTCCGTTTCTTGTCAAAAATAAAAAATAAACAATGGGGAGGAGCACAATCAAATTTGACTAGCAGTCCACAAAAGTTGCAACCCACCAACACTGCATCTAAAGTTTCTCAAGGAACCCAAATTTTTGTTATAGAATGGGCAGCGGATGGTGTGCGGTTCCAGGTGCTGTCACTGACTAGATTGAGATCTGCAGGGTGGTGAGGACTTTGACTGCCTTGTATCGGGTGCAGAGAAGGGGGTGGTAGGCTTAGTAGGGCTCGAACCTATAATATAACCGTTATGAGCAGTACGTTTCAATCAATAAACTATGAGCCCCTGCAGATCTCTACATGCAATTTGCTCACTTTGGGAAGAGTGGATGGAAGGAAATTCAATCTCAGAGAATTTCCATTTACTGATCCTACCCCTGCACTATAAGCAAGCCGTGTGGAAAACCGCTTCTGTTTTCCAGTTTTGCACCAATTCGGGCAAAATGGGGTGTAGACCTCTGTAATACTATCATGAAGTCCAGTTTCATAATTGCCCAACATTGCTGAAACGCTGCTTATGGAAAACCATCTACAACCATGTTTTTGTCTTTGTTTCATTAAAAACGAATTTTTTCTTAACCTCCTCCTTAATGGGCTTTTCAACCAGCTGCTTTCTGTTCACGAGTTGGACTCCCACCATACCTAAAAGTGTTGGCTTCGGTTTATCCTCATTGGAAAACAAGTTTGGATGAAGCTTCACCACGCCTATTGAGGTGATTGAGGAATTGTGGATGCTAAGAAGGAAGGATATGTCTTTAGAATCAAGTTTGATAAAATTTACGGCCATGTTGATTGGCCTTTTTACATCATGCGTTTGAAATGAATAGGGTTTGGTAGGAGATGATTAGTTGTTGCTTGAGTTTGGTTAACTTCTCCGTGATTATTGGTAGGTTGAGTGCCTCAAGAGGATTGAGGGAGAGATATGATGTACCCGTTTCCTTTTTTCTTTACTTGTGAAGCAAAATCTATCCTCATCACTTGACCCAGCCCTCCTGTTGAGATTCTCAGTGGATTTAACACAATGCGTAGGCTTATCTGTGAATAAGCGTCTCTCATTTTGGTTTGGTTGTTTCTTTTTGCATTTTATGATTCTTGTCAATCACATTTTATAGTTTCTATGATTCTTTTCAAGGAACACTAATGAAAGGGGCTTGAAAACTTTGAGTTTTAAGGATAAGGACAAAATAAAGGGTAAAGTGAATAGTACCATGATTGACTTTTTAGTGTAAAAACGTGGTTTTTCGTTAAAGTGAACAGTACTGGGAGCTTTTCGTTTAAGTTCCCTTCTTTTTGTGCTTAGTCTTCTAGACTGGAAGGCGGCTTTTCTCTGATGGCTTTTATGCGTTTGTTTGTAATCGGTGTTTTCTATGTTTTTGCTTTCTAAGTCGTGTTTGTTTTCTTTTTTCTGGTTTGGTCTTTTGGACCAACCTCTTTGTTTTTTCTTTTGATCTTAATACAATCGTTTCTTTATAAAAATGTTTCTTTTTATGACACCAGGAGATGCTTCATGATTTGCTTGACCGGGTCCTGTCTGCATGTAAAGCTGGCCTGGAGGACCCCGATGATGATGTTCGAGCAGTAGCTGCAGATGCTTTGATACCTACCTCAGCTGCTATTGTTGCTTTAAAGGGTGAAACTTTGCATTCTATAGTGATGTTGCTTTGGGATATATTACTTGATTTGGATGATTTAAGTCCATCCACTAGCAGGTACACTTGTTTGTTAATTATTTTGTAGTCAATTTGTCTTTTTGTTTTCTATTAATATATGCATCATAGTCTTCTCAAGGTAATATGCCTCATGAGATAATTGATGTCTTGCACACAAATAAGGAAAGTCTTGTGCGCACTCACTTCACCGAACAAAGAGGAGAGAAAGGATGGGGTAGGAGGAAGATTTGGAAAATTGGAGAGAAAAGGGAGAACAGAGGTTGTTATAAATATTTATAGGTGGTATTTGTGCATTGATTTCAGAAAGATGGTATTTTTGGAAAAACTTTGCCATCTGGTGTTACATACGGCAATTTCCCTAAATGATATGGTGTGATAAATTATGTGGAAAAAAAAAAAGATTAGCCTTTTGACACACATCAGCTTGATATGGGGAATTTAGTTTGTCTTCTTCAGTTTGTATGTGCATCTCGGATTTCAGATTTGTTGTCCATATGTTTTGTGCTTCTCAATTATTGTTATAAAGTTTGTGTTACACTTGCATGTTAATAGAAAAAAAAAAAAAACTTAATAAGCAGTTGTATTTTAATCTGCACTGTAAGTGATTAGAAAGATTCTTATTGGCACATTCTTATCCGCTTAAGAGGTATCACACGCTTGTAAATATAGTGAAAATCTGATATATAACTTATAACCAACTTTTGTCAAAATAGAATCTTAGTCCTTTCAATCGTGGATATTGGTTTTGCAGCGTAATGAATCTTTTGGCGGAAATCTATTCCCAGGAAGACATGATTCCTAAGATTTTTGAGGCATTGACATCACAAGAGATTGATTTGAATGAATTGGGTAGCATTGATGATACGGGAGAAGGATTAATTTCGCAAGATAATCCTTTCATGTTATCAACACTTGCACCGCGATTGTGGCCCTTTATGAGGCATAGTATCACATCAGTTCGTTATTCAGCTATCCGCACGTTGGTAAACTTCTCTTCTCTTGGCTCTGTTGTTTTGTTATCCAATTTTCAACCATTTTAAAAAAAATATATAAATTCTATATTAAAGTCTTTATTCATTTTGTCTTTTGTCACTACAAGCGTCTTGTTTTGAGCAAGAAATAAAAAGGCCCAAAACAAAAATCTGTTAATGTATATTGACCGGCAACCAAGTTATGAAAGCATGCCTATGATTCAATGCATAAATCAAGGCAGTTTCACCCTCGCCACTTCAGCAAAGGCACCCCTATTGGCTTTGGGAGTGTTGTAACTATTTAAGAAACCAGATTTCCTGATGTGCGCACCACATTTTGACCTTTAATTATGTTCATTGGACAACAAGACAACCATTACAAATGAGAAGCTGATCGGATCTAGCAAGATGCTGCCAATCCCCATTGACCAGAATGTGACTTGCATTGACTTTTGGTCTGGTATCTGAGTGAACATAGCTAACAATAGCATTATTAGCAAAGCCAGTTTATTCCTGTTGTCCCACCACAAGTGATGTGATTTTTCCATTACCATCTATCTAATGTTATATTTTCTTGTGTTTAAACATGTAATTATTTTATTGGTACTATTTCGTACGTGACATTTATAAAATGCTTACTTGTGGATCCGGGTTCAGATGTTCTTAAGTATGCATATATACATGTTTGTTTGGGTGGGAGGGTGTATGCGTAATTATATGTTTGCATGCCTGTAATATGTTGATGTACAGTTAATTCTCTACTATGCATTTTCATTTGCAGGAACGACTACTTGAAGCAGGATACAAAAGGAGTCTCTCTGAGTCTTCGAGTACTTCATTTTGGCCTTCTTTTATCTTGGGTGATACCCTTCGGATTGTTTTTCAGAATTTACTGCTTGAATCAAATGACGAAATTTTGAAACGTTCAGAGAGAGTTTGGGGGCTCCTTGTTCAGGTTCTTTACTTTGTGATAATGAATGGTTTTAATTGTACTTCTGTTTATTTCTTCTCGTTGAAGATGTAGTTATCCTGCTTCTTGATTTTGTTTTTTGTTAACAAGAAGAAGATATGAAAATGTCACCTGGTCTCGCATTAGCGTGACTGTGGGACTTTTATTTGGAGACACAAATAATCTAAGCCTCTTATGAACTCTCCTTTCCTTTTACCTGGATATTGTTTTCCGCATTTCTACATTTATATATGCAATTGACACGCCACGTATTTCCATGTTTGCTCATCCTTTCATACTCGTTGGAAGGCAGCTATGGTGTTTCTATCATAGTTTTCTATGTGGCTGCTGTAGATCTCTGTTAATTTCCTTTTTGTCTCTGGATTCTGGTCGGCTTCTTGATCACTGATTGTGAATTTTTGTTATGATAAATGTTTCTTTTAAAAAAAAAATATATATATATATATCAGTTGTTCTTAATTGTCCGAACTTGTAATGATTACCAGCAGTAGTATCTATTCCTGTCTTTGCTTAATTTTCTTGATTTGATGCCTTTGCTCTTGCTTTCTGTTTCTTGCTTTTGGTTACATTTTATTGATTCTTATTTGTAAAAATTTATGCTCGTTCTAACACTCTCCCCCCACCCCAAAACCGGCTGTTATACCAGTGTCCATTAGGTGACTTGGAAATTGCTGCAAGGTCATATATGTCCTCTTGGATAGGACTTGCAACTACTCCGTATGGATCAGCATTAGATTCTACAAAAATGTTTTGGCCTGTTGCTCTCCCACGAAAGAGTCATTTTAAAGCAGCAGCTAAAATGAGAGCTGTGAATCTTGTAAATGAGTCTTGTAGAAACATTGGGTTGGAATCTTCGAAGGGATCCATTCCGGAGGAAAAAGGTGGAGATGCTTCAACCAATAATGTTCAGATAGTTGTTGGTGCGGATGTTGAAATGTCTGTTATGCGTACCAGAGTGGTTACTGCAGCTGCATTGGGAGTTTTTGCTTCTAGATTGCATGAAGGTTCAATGCAGTATGTAATCGATCCACTGACTAAAGCATTTACCTCTTTATCTGGTGTCCAGCGGCAGGTACCATTTGATTTCAAATGCAAGTTTCCACCATCATCCCCTTCCTCTTTTAGTATTGGTATATTTAATCATTACTCATATGCAATCAGGTGGCATCTATGGTTCTTCTTTCTTGGTTCAAAGAGATTAAAAGTGCAGATGTGTTTGAAAACGCTGGAGTTATGCCAGGTTTTCTGAACCATCTCAAACATTTGATGTTGGATTTCTTGGCATGCTCTGAACCTGGTTTCCCTACAAACGATCCTTGTCTTCCTTATGCTGAGCTTTCAAGAACGTATTGTAAGATGCGTTGTGAGGCTAGTCAGTTGTTAAATGCTATTCAATCATCGGGTATGTTTCAGAGTTTGTTGTCTACTACCAAAATTGACTTGGAAAGGTTGAACGTGGACAATGCAATTAATTTTGCATCAAAACTTCCAATGTTGTGTAATGATATTGGGGGAAATGATTCTTTGGAAAGGCACATTGTTGACGATATAGAGTCAGCAAAACGACGACTTTTGACAACTTGTGGATATTTAAAATGTGTTCAGGTAATTGTGGGACATAATTGCATATTTTTGAAATGCTTCTTTAAGTGATAGGCTGAAGGATACTTCTTATTTTTTATTTTATTTTATGGAATTCTTGGAGCAGTGTCGACATTTTTCATTTTTATTAAGGGTTTTGTTATTCCCCATTTCTATAATTATATTTGAGTCGTTACCTTTTGCTCACTATTACATTCTGCAACAATCTGCAGAGCAATCTGCATGTTACTGTCTCTTCTCTTGTTGCTGCTTCTGTTGTTTGGATGTCAGAGCTCCCTGAACGACTAAATCCAATTATTCTGCCTTTGATGGCTTCTATCAAAAGAGAACAGGTAACCTCCTATATATAATTGTTTTCTTAATTCTATGGTTGCTTAGTTATTTAATCTGATATGTCTTAAATCTCTTTGGAAGGAGGAAATACTACAAGAGAAGGCAGCTGAGGCACTTGCAGAGCTTATTTCTCATTGTATTTCACGTAGCCGAAGCCCAAATGATAAGTTAATTAAGAATATATGTAATTTAACATGTGTGGATCCTAGAGAAACACCTCAAGCTGCAGTCATCTGTTCCATAGATATTATTGATGACCAAGATCTCCTATCTTTTGGGACAAATACTGGTAAGCAGAAATCAAAGGTCATTCTGGCTGGTAACGAAGACCGCTCAAAGGTTGAAGGCTTTATTAGCAGACGAGGCTCTGAACTTGCCTTGAGGCATCTTTGTGTGAGGTTTGGTGCTTCATTGTTTGATAAGCTTCCAAAACTATGGGATTGCCTCACTGAAGTGCTTAAGCCTAGTAGTATTGAGCCCCTTAATCCTGCAGATGAAAAGAAAATTACACAAACTCTAGAATCTGTGAAGGATCCCCAGATCTTGATAAATAATATCCAGGTTCTTATCATCCTTGATTTAGTTGGTTATTTTACTTATATTAAATCTTGTGACTGCATTCAGTACAAATATTTTTGCGTATGATAGTGCATATGCATCATTAAATGTCAAAAGGTGTTACAAATATGAAAATTCAGTCTATTAATTTAAAGCTCTTTTGTTACTTTAAAATGATGGGATTCAAGACCACTAATAAAGATAAGGGACCAGAGTGTTAGGATTTGGTTTGTCTTTTGTTAGGTGTCCTCTTTTGCTTAGGATTGTATTAGGAAAGCTGAAGGTGCACAGATTCTTTTCCTACAAGGATTAAGAAAGAATTAAGTTTTCTTGTACAATTAGATTAGGAATCCTAAAAGCAGAAACATAATAGGAATGCAAGTGTGCTTTCCTATCCCAAATAGATTAGGATACCTAATTAGATTATAGGAGTGTAAACCGCACCTTATACTTATAAATAGGGTGGGATAAGGGCTGAAAAGCTAGCAGAAAACAGAGACAGCCGAGAGAAGATAGGGTTTACTTCTAGGGTTTGCGAAGTACTTTATTAATCAAAGAAGCCGTGGTCACAACTGGATGTAGACAAAAGTTCTGCATAATTAGGATAAATCTTGTATGTTTCTAGTTATCCCTATTTGATAAGTTTAGTCTATTGTCGGATACATCAAAGAACAAGATCTGGAGGGGAGTCAAAATAACAACAAATATCAAGAGATCGGTTCAAGATGCTATGCGATGGCAAGTATGACTTCATAGACTAGCAAGGGATGATGAAGAACGTACTGATACAACAAGAGTTGGATGATGTACCCTTTGGTGAGAAGCCAAAGGCCATGACAAAACCGACATAGACCAAGATTCTCAAGAAGGCGAACAGTTCCATCGAGATTCATCTCACAAAATTATTCAGGTCCCACATGACAGAAACGATAACTGCTAAGAAAGCATGAGACAAGTTGGAGAAGTTGACAAAACCATGTCCAATAAACTATTTCTCAAGGATGAATTATTTGGGCTTTGACTAGAAGAAGGATGTCGAAGAAATTGACAAAGATGATGATATGGCTATCATCTTGCTAAGGTCTCTACCCTCGTCTTTCAAGCACTTTCGAATAACTTTAATGTTCGGAGAGGAGTCCCTACATCTTGAGGACGTAATTCAAGCTCTTCAGTGATATGCTAAACTAGATGATATAGCTAAAAGTTCTCAAGGCCTTTATGTCAAAGGAAAGGAGAGGGGGCAGGCAAAGACGAAGGAAGAAAAGAACATCAATAAGGGTAGGTCGAAATCCAACAACAAAGCCTTTTCCCACTAAGTGGGGTCGGCTATCTGAATCCTAGAACGCCATTGCGCTCAGTTTTGTGTCATGTCCTCCGTTAGATCCAAGTACTCTAAGTCTTTTCTTAGGGTCTCTTTCAAAGTTTTCCTAGGTCTTCCTCTACCCCTTCGGCCTTGAACCTCTATCCCGTAGTCACATCTTCGAACTGGAGCGTCAGTAGGCCTTCTAAAAGAAGGTTGCAAGAAGGGATGTCTAATTGCAAGCTGGGTTTTTGTGAATTGCGTTCTCAAGAAGCAAAGAAAGGTATTGTTCGCAAGTACCAGTGTAAATAAGCAAGGAGCAACTCAACTATATTCACTTAAATGTTTGGATCTTGCGCCAACTAAATCCTAGGTGGCTTTAGGTATTTTGTTACTTTTATAGATGATTTTCCTAGAGGTCGCACTTGGTGCGATGGCAAGTGCCTTTGCCCATGAGCGGTAGGTCTCGGGTTCGAGACTTGGGAGCAGCCTCTCCATAAATGGGGGTAAGGCTAGCCGACATTCACCTCTCCCAGACCCTGCGTAAAGCGGGAGCCTTGTGCACTGGGTACGACCTTTTTATAGATGATTTTCCTAGAAAATTTTGGGTTTATTTATGAAAGAGAAATCCGAGGTTTTTTGCAAAGTTCTCGGAATGGAAGATAGAAACCGAGAATCAAATTGGAAGAATGATCAAGTACATGGGAAGCGACAATGGAGGTGAGCATGCAAGCAAGGAGTTTGTTGATAATTGTAAGCAGAAAGGCATCATGAGGCACTTCATAGTAAAGAAGAATCTCTAACAAAACGAAGTTGTTGAGAGAATAAATAGAACTTTGGTGGAAAGAGAGAAGCATGAGATTTCATGCAAGATTGGAGTGCAGAAAGTTACTTGATTAATCATGCAAGTTACTTGATTAGGAGTGCAGAAACGATGCTTCTCAACAAAGTCAAGATCATTGGAGAGAAGAAGAATGATGCTGAAGAAGAAGCAACAAGAATTCCATTCATCAGACCAGGGGAAGATGAAGCTCAAGTGGAGCCAATTGAGCAAGGATTCGAATTTGATAATCCTGAGGAAGAAGAAGAGCATCAACATCATCACCAGGTAGGAATCAGGTAGAGCAAGAAACAAGGCATGTTGCAAACACTCTAATTCGCTCAAATATCCCAAGGGGTTCAAATTCCAACCCACATTTTACCTACATTCTAGAGATGCATGGCACTTGCAAACCCATTCGAAACAAGAAGTAACCTAACAAGTTTGGGTTTGATTGACCAAGACGAAGTTGATTATGCTTTTAACATTAGTCAAGGAGATAACTACTTATCAAGAAACTATAGCAAGTGATGAATGAGATAATTGGATAAGTGCTATGACAGAAGAAATACTCTGTTCAAGAACTCTGTTTGAGAGTTGGTTCCGAAGCCCAATGATAGAAAGCTAGTTGGATGCAAGTGGATGTATAGGAAAAAAGGATTACATGAACAAGATGCCATGAAATTCAAAACAAGGTTCGTGACAAAGGGGTACTCACAGAAGGAAAGGGTGAACTATGATGAAGTCCTTTCACCCGTGGTCAATCATACTTTTATCAGATTGCTTTTACGAATGGCAGCACAACATGGCAGAGAGATTGAGCAAATGGATGTGAAGACTGCGTTTCTCTATGAGGGTCTAGAGGAGATGATTTTCTTGGCTCAACCAGAAGGGTTTGTCGAGTATGGGAAAGAGAACCTAGCGTGTTGGCTTAGGAAGTCCTTGTATAGCCTGAAGTAGTCTCTAAGGCAGTGGTACAAGAGGTTTGACTCCCTTGTGCTGAAAATTAATTTTAGAGATGCTTATATGACTGTTGTGTACTATCATGTATTTCAAGATGGGATGTTCGTATAGCTGTTGCTATATGTGGATAACATTCTAATTGCTTGTCAAGACAAGTCTGAGTTCAAGACTTAAAGAAGATGTTGAGCAAGGAGTTTGACTTGAATAATCTAGGTGTTGCATAAAAAATCCTTGCCATGGAAATTCAGAGAGATAGGACCGGTAGTATGCTTTGGATATCAGAAGCCAAGTATATTCAAAAGGTTCTTGAGAAGTTCAATATGCTAGAAGCAAAGGATAGTTTCGACACCTTTGGCGGCTCAATTCAGATTAAGCAGGCAACAATGTCCTAAAGTGGGGGTATGGTGGCAGTACTAATAGTGGGTGTGGTTGTTGGGGTGTAGAGGTAACAATAGTGGTTGGGGCGGCAACAACAACAGTAGTGGCAATGGGCGGCTGTTGTGATGGTGGCAGTGACGGCACAATGGCGGTGATGGTGGTGGCAATGGTAGCGGTTGAAATAGCGCTGGTGGTGGTTTTGATGGCGGCAACGGTGGTGGTGGTATGGTGGTAGCAACAACGGTGGTGGAAACGGCGGTGGTGGTGTAAGGTTAATGTTTGTGGCAGTATGTAGTGGCCATTACTTTGTTCTCCAAAGGATAAAACGAGTGTAAGAGGTTAAACAATGTCATTTTAAAATTTATGAGGGTGTTACAGGGTTTGAAAATATTCATAAAAGGCTCAACTTTGCTTTTTTTAAAGTAGCCTTTAAAAGCAACCTACAAACTGCTTTAAAAACTGTTGTCTAGACTCCATTGCTTTTAAAACAAGCATGATATTTTAGTTTTATCGAACACTTTTTCATGGCTTAACATTGAAGAGAGCAATTTTTTTGTGGAAAAAAGCAATACCAAACGTGGTCTAAGTTCAAAAAGGAGAAACAGGTGATGGAGAAGGTGCCCTATGCTAATGTCATGGGCTGCCTAATATGTGCAATGGGATGTGTTGATGCCGACTATGTAGGGGACTTGGACAAGAGAAGGTTGGAAGGCACTACTGCAACCAATTGTAGCTTTGTGGACCACATGAGCGTAGTACATTGCTTTGGCTGAAGTTGGAAAGGAAGCAATTTGGCTTGGTGGTTTGGTGAGCCAATTGGGAATCACTCAGGATTACATGAAGCTTAAATGTGACAATCAAAGTGCAATTCACTTGGCAAATAATCTGGTTTTTTTATGGAAGATCAAAGCACATGAAGTGAGGTATCACAGAATGCAGGATTGGGTGGAGTCCAAGGAGATTTGGGTTGAAAAGGTTCATACGGACAACAATGGCATATATTTTCATACCAAGATAGTGTCAGCCAAGGAATTTTAGCATTGCTTGAACTTGATCAATCTAGTCGATTGATTAAGGTGGATCACCTCCTCACTTGAGGTTTAATGAGGCAAGAATAAGTTTGCCTAGGTGAGGGTACTTGAAGTTTCCGAGCTGCTTCAAGAATGGTCGAATATACTTGAGTTTGGTTTGGGGTGTCTTCACCCCCTGTTCACCAAAAAAAAGGATACTTTGGGGTGCAACAGTCCAAACTTGGTTAGATTCACCAAGGTGGAGATTGTTAGGATTTGGTTCGTCTTTTGTTAGTTCTAGGGTTTGCAAAAGTATTGTATACTCGATTATTAATCAAAGAAGTTGTGCTTTCTGTACCCAAAGAAATCACAATTGTACGTAGGCAGAAGTTCTGCCGAACAAGTATAAATCTTGTGTGTTTCTAGTTATCCTCAATTGCTAAGTTGAGTCTATTGCCGGATGCATCAAAGAACAAGATCCAAAGGGGAGTCGAAATAACAACACAAAGACCAATCAGGGTTTCAGAATTAAGGAAAAGTAATTACATGAACTGAGATGTTGTGGGTATGTGGAATGAAAACTGGAAGCTCATGCAATTTGTTTTACCTTTTCCTTTTTAAAATTTTTTCTACTGTCTAAAATATTAAGTGTGTATTGACCCAAAAAAATAAAAAGAGGAGTGGATTTTAAAATAATAAAATCAGAGAACTAGAAGAAAAGGGGAAGATAAATTTAAGAAGCACATCCATCTTTACTCAACATGGCAACTTGAAGCTGCTTCACTCAATTCTCAAATGGTTTTGTGCTTGTAGTAATTTCGTGGTTAATAATGGCCATCCTTAATCTTGACTCCTTATTTTTCTTAAGGCCAAAGGTTAAAAAATAAAGACTAACCCAATCTTATCAGAAGTTCTTTTGTTCATGCTTTGTTTCTAACTATTTGGCTCACCCTGTTGCATTAGCTGCTAATGTCTATTTTATCCATAACAATTTAGATGTATTGATCTTTTCTTTGGGTTTTTTTTCTAGTTCTGAACTATCTACCTTTACTTGATTGTAAATTAGGACATAACATTTTTAGGAATTTGAGATTCTAACATGAGTTATTGCATTACAAATGGTAAGCCATCAAAATTTGTGGACCTACATACTTGAAACCTAAATTTTGTCTCAAAATTTGCAGGTAGTACGTTCTATTGCTCCAATGCTAAATGAGGATCTGAAACCAAAACTACTCACCCTTCTCCCATACATATTTAAGTGTGTTCACCATTCCCATGCTGCTGTTAGATTGGCTTCCTCTAGATGCATCACCACAATGGCCAAGTCAATGGAAATGCATGTGATGGGAGCTGTAATTGAAAATGTCATACCCATGTTAGGGGATATGACATCTGTTGATGCCAGACAAGGTGCAGGCATGCTTATTAGTTTGCTTGTCCAAGGACTGGGTGTGGAGCTGGTTCCATATGCTCCTTTCTTAGTTGTCCCTCTTCTAAGGTGTATGAGTGATTGTGATCAGTCTGTCAGACAGAGTGTGACTCGCAGCTTTGCTGCCCTTGTACCTCTTCTTCCACTCACACGGGGCCTCCCTCCACCTGTTGGACTAACTGAAGGTTTCTCCAGAAGTGCAGAAGATGCAACATTTCTGGAGCAACTACTTGACAACTCCCATATTGATGATTACAAGCTTTGTACTGAACTGAAAGTGACACTGAGAAGGTAGCTAAAATACTTAATCTTGAATGAAGTCGTAGCTAAGCCTAAAACTTTTAAACTTGACTTGATATTTATCTTTGCAACAGCTAAGACTACAATTCTAAATGAACTGGGGACATTTTTAATTATGTTTGTGCCTAGTTTATTCGTGATGCGTAGCAATATTCTAAACCCATGTTTATAATGTATACTGGTTAGAATTGCAGAAGAGGGGAAATACATCTCGATTGTTGGATATCTTACTGGTAGTCACTTAGAAGTTTGGTTGCCGAGGTTGACTGTTAGTTGGGTGGATATAGAAGCACTCTATTTTTTAGGGCTTACTGTTATGTATAAATTGGTTTGACTTTGTACTGCATCAACATTCTGGTTCCTAACAGATCCTTTTGGTTATAGGTATCAACAGGAAGGCATAAATTGGTTAGCCTTTTTAAAACGTTTCAAGCTTCATGGAATCTTATGTGATGATATGGGTCTTGGTAAGACACTTCAAGCATCTGCTATTGTGGCTTCTGATATAGTTGAGCATCGAACTTTGAATGACGGCAATCCTCCATCATCTTTAATTATTTGCCCATCAACACTTGTTGGACATTGGGCCTTTGAGATAGAGAAGTACATTGATCTTTCCATAATATCTACACTCCAATATGTTGGTTCTGCTCAAGAGCGCATTTCTCTTCGAGAACATTTTGAAAAGCATAATGTGATAATAACATCATATGATGTGGTTCGCAAAGATATTGATTATCTTGGGAAGCTTCTCTGGAACTATTGTATCTTAGATGAAGGACATGTGATCAAGAATGCAAAGTCGAAAATTACACTTTCAGTGAAGCAATTGAAAGCCCAGCATCGTTTGATATTGAGTGGAACACCAATCCAGGTTGGTCTTTCACTGATTCATGAAATTACCTTAAAACTGATTTTCTATTTTCTTCTGAAAAGGAACCTACTGTTTGTTGTAGAATAACGTCATGGATTTGTGGTCCCTTTTTGATTTCCTAATGCCCGGCTTTCTTGGAACAGAGAGGCAGGTGTGTTTTAGCCTTCTTCTGTTATATATTATATTCTTTTGTTGGTTTTCTTTATTTGAATCTTTTTATGTGGCAGATAAAATTATCTTATAGAAGTAAACATAAAAACAAACTCTGAAAACAAATGGTGGCTTTCAGGCTAAACCCACATAAATATTTTTCTGATAGATACCCACATAAATCTTTACAGGAACTCAAATAGATTAATTTGGAAAAATCTTAAACCCTGCTTTCTGGGAGCAGAGGCTGTGAGCATCCATTTTTGTAACTTTGGTCTACAAAGACTACTGATAAAGTGTTGGCTGACATGAGTTGAAGCAGAACTCTTGACTAAAGTTTGAACAAGAAATCTCGTATAAATAAAAGAGTTGATTCTATAGAATAAATGTAGATTGGAGGCAGTAGATTCATAGGATTCATATTATTTGACTTATTGTATTTGGTTTCATACTTGATCGAGATAGTTTGTATTGCTATATATATCCTCCAAATTGGAGAATAACATAATCAAGAGATAAACTACTCTGATTTCACACTTAAAAGTCTAGAATGAGGGTTAGTAAGAGCGTACAATTATTTTTAGAGTGTAACTTACATTGTGTTTTCTTTCTGTTAAGGGTGTACTTATAAAGTTACTAAAGAGTCTGGTATGATGAAGATGAACATCATCTATCAGAAAATAATATTATTTTAAATTCTGTCTTTCTCGTAATCAACTACATGTTTGGATAGTTTCCATTGTCAGTTTAAGTGATTATAATTCCTCTTTCATGATTTGCTAATCTCTTGAAAATTTTAGATGCATGTACATTCTGTGTACGCATTTCCCTGGATGATTGTCAGTCTGATTTGATAAATAAATAAATCTGTTGTTTCAACGTTATTTGGGCAGTTCCAAGCTGCTTATGGAAAACCACTGGTGGCAGCCAGAGATCCTAAGTGCTCTGCCAAGGATGCTGAAGCAGGTGCACTTGCGATGGAAGCATTGCACAAGCAGGTAAATTTCCTTCCTTTTTATTGTTTTTTATGCAAATTAAACTTCTTAAAAAATTTGTGCTACTTGATGTTTGACCCCTTGGTAGTTGACCTTGCAAACTCACTGGAAACTGATGTGAAAAATAATACAATGGTCAAACTTTTACAAGTATATATGAAATTTTCCGTGCATTCCAAGTTCTGGAATTTTAAAGAGTGCAAATTGTTCACTGAGATTCTTTTCTGGTGAAATTAGCTGGCTTAGTACTTACTGTTGGCAAAAGTGATAAGAGTTGTGCAGAAATTGTTGTACTTTTCTAACTAAAAAATATTCTGTCAAATAGGTCATGCCTTTCCTCCTCCGTCGAACAAAAGATGAAGTCTTGTCTGATCTTCCCGAGAAAATTATTCAGGACAGGTTCTGTGACCTGAGCCCTGTACAATTGAAATTGTATGAACAGTTTTCTGGGTCACATGTGAGACAAGAGATCTCAAGTATTGTAAAACAAAATGAGTCAGCAGATACAGGAGGGCGTAGTGAATCACCTAGAGCTTCATCCCATGTTTTTCAGGTAATTTTGTTATTTATTTTTGTATTTAATTCTCTTTTGCTTCAGTATGCTCCTATCATTGAATGGATGTTACTTGTTCTTGTTTCAGGCACTTCAGTACTTGCTTAAACTTTGCAGTCACCCATTGCTTGTTCTTGGAGAAAAGGTCCCTGATTCAATTGCATGCCTGTTGTCAGAGCTACTACCGGGAGGCTCTGATACAGTTTCAGAATTGCACAAACCATACCACTCTCCCAAACTAGTTGCTCTTCAGGAGATTCTTGAAGAGTGTGGAATAGGTGTTGATGCTTCTAGTTCTGAAGGTGCCATAAGTGTGGGGCAGCACAGAGTCTTGATATTTGCTCAACATAAAGTATTGTTCGTTTATGTTTGACTTATTCAGTTAATTCTGTTTTTAAACTACCTGTGCTTAGCTTACATTCATGGTTTTTAATGTGCAATGCCTTCTCATGCAGGCATTTCTGGACTTAATAGAAAGAGACTTGTTTCTCACTCATATGAAGAGGTTGGTCTCCTGAACCTCTATCATGCATCTGTGTTAGTTGCTTAAGTCTCCTAATTTTATGAAAGACTGTTTTGGAGTGGAAAGTTATTCTAGTGTTGATTCTCTCATAATCTTGACCCACAATTCTGATAAGTAACAGTATTACATGAGTTTTAAATATTTCAGTTAGAAATCTGTTTTTGTTGGACCTAGAAAAATTAATATGCCAGAAATCAGTGGGTTGAGTACATGTGACAAATAAATTATTAGATATGGTGGGTGTAACTGTAAAAGAATCATCCTCTAGTATAGTGAACTTGTGCAATTGCTTTCACAATGTTTGTCCTCTTGTATAGTATAGTATAATGATCTAATGGTCTTACATGTTGCTTGAAAGCAGTGTAACCTACTTGCGGCTGGATGGGTCAGTTGAACCTGAAAAACGTTTTGATATTGTCAAAGCTTTCAATTCGGATCCTACAATCGATGTTCTGCTACTCACAACCCATGGTTGGCTTTTTATCCTTTGCTTGCGTACTAGATTCACAGTCAAGAGTGTTACTAAGTCTAAAATTGAATCACTTTCCGCAGTTGGTGGGCTGGGCTTGAACCTGACATCTGCAGACACACTCGTTTTCATGGAGCATGACTGGAACCCCATGCGGGACCATCAGGTGACTGTCTTTTGCTGTCTTTATCCTCTAAGGAGTCTAAATTTCATCTCTTGAAATTGGAATCATAGGCCATCTGTCACATTTCATGTCTAGTGTTCAGGAAAAGATCTCTCTGATGAACTTCAATAAAGCTCCCTAATTGCTCGTCATCTTTTCTTGAAATTGGATAGAGACCAGCTGCCATATTTCAAGTCTAGTTTTCAATAAAAGATCTCTGAGATGAAATTCAGTGAAGCTCCCTAATTGCTCAGCATTATTCATTGTTATTTACCTTTTTTTTTATCACTTGCAGGCAATGGACAGAGCACACAGATTAGGTCAGAAAAAAGTTGTCAATGTCCATCGCCTTATTATGCGTGGCACTCTCGAAGAGAAAGTTATGAGCTTGCAAAAGTTTAAGCTTTCAGTAGCTAATGCAGTCATTAATGCTGAAAATGCTAGTATGAAAACCATGAACACAGACCAACTGCTTGATCTATTTGCTACTGCAGAAACATCTAAAAAGGTATTGCTGGCTGGTCTATCATCTGCATGTTCTTGCCGATGTTGAACCTATATGATAACCATGTTATTGTTTTTCTTGTGGTTCTTTTGGATGCTGCACACATTTACAGAAGCTAATACAAATTCTAATTGAATTGTTATGTGTCTGCTGCAAGTTCTTAGTTGATGTCAATGACAAGTTTCAACTATTTGTTTGTTTCCTAGGGAACTTCTATATTAAAGCATCCTGATGGAAAATTTGATGGAGATATGAAATTAATGGGCACTGGAAAGGGGTTGAAAGCAATTCTTGGTGGGCTGGAGGAGTTGTGGGATCAATCACAGTACACCGAAGAATACAATCTCAGTAACTTCTTGGCAAAGCTTGATGGTTGATGCGAAGCTTACGACTCTGTACAGTATATTTCTGCATCATGTAAGGACCCAAATTTTGACATTGTAGCTCAAGGCGTACTCCTTCCTTTTCATTAGAGTTCTCCCATATCGTATAATTTCAGGACGTTGAGGGCAAGAGTTGCATGAGTGGTTCCAAAGCCTGTCATTACCGTGCCTTGCAAAGTCATGGAAAAGGCAAAGAACAAACAAGCATACCATTTCCATGGGATTTGCAAAGACATGAGCAAGCATATCTTGCAAAGGCATGCTAAAGGAAGGGCATGAACAAGCATGCAGTGACAATCAACGACCAAAAGCATATATGCTTTTGTTTTTTTTGTTTTTTTGTTTTTGTTTGTTTGAACAAAAAGCATATATGCCTTTACAAGGTGTAAACAAGGCATGGTTGAAGGCAACGTAAGGCACCACTTATGTCACAAAGGTGACTAGTCTAAAGCTGCCTATAAATGATTTCTAGGTTTAGAAATTCTCTGCCATGGTATTGGGATACACTTAATTCACCACATTGTTTAAATTAAATATCACATTAATAGGAGGGAGGACCACGGAGGACATTGCATTTGCAAGGTTTTATGGTCAAATTCTTAGAGGCATAAAATAAGTATTTGCCTACAAAGACTCGAAAGTAAATCCTTGCCTTCAACGACAATTTACCTGACAGCTATGCAACCTAAGCATTAGGCTCCGTGCACCTAGGCCCACTTGAGCAATACCTCAACTCTTTCTCACGTGCGCACTTGGGACTCTCTTCACCTTAATTTGCGACGGAAATTGTATGAAAATAGTGGGATTCAGCCCACGCTTACTAGTGACGTGGGAAGTGGGGTCAGGGATCTGTTGTCTCCTAAAATGTGTTCTTTAACTTGGAAAAATCATTTTCCTATGTATTCTAGGAATTCCGCAATTGTATTCGTTCATCGTATATTGTGCGGTCAATTTTTTTTAGATACTATTTGTATTTGAATTTTAAATTTTAAATGATTTCTAACCGTATGATGTACGATGAACGGACACGATTACAGGATTCCTAATAAAAGGATCTGGCGAGGACCCTTTTCCCTTTAACTTAACTCTCAATTTAATTGTGTTAACATTTTTTAATATGTATTTAAAAACAAAAACATATTCCATTAAAGAAACCCAGAACAATAAACACACCAAAACCCAACACAAGAACTCCCTCCAATATTTTCCTAGCAAAAATATTAAAATAGTCACCACAACAGCCCAACTATTGTTACCGTTGACAGCAAATCTCACCGTCATTAAAGCTTCCTCTCCACTCTCTTTTTCTATTCTTGACCAGCGAAGCCTTATAGGATGAATGAATCAAACCTTGCCATCGGTTCAGATCTCATCGTCTATTGTTTTCGAGTCGATTCAAATCGGGTTTATATCGATCGACCAGATTTCCTCCTTCCTCAAACCAAAATTTACATAAAATTAGTTGTTTGACGGGTTGGTCGATCACAATTAGGTATTTTGAACAGACAAGAAAATGGCGGAGGAGAGAAAAAAAGAGGTTTCGTCGGGGATAAAGAGGGGTGTTTCATGTTTGTTTGCTGGGAAAATATTGGCGGAAGTTCCAAACTTCCAGTGTTGGTTTGTTGTGTTATTGTTTTTGTTAATGTTAATATTTTAATATTAGGCTTAACTGAAAGAAGGCCCAAAGGTGCCAAAACGAGATGATCTTGCCCGAAGCCTAGCTATTAAGCCTGAAGCAAATTAAAGCCTTCTTAGCCAAGGCATAGGCCATGTGCCTATGATTGAAGTGACAAGTGATATAGACCAGCTCATTACCAACCAAAAAGCATTTTTTTATGGCATAAAGGTGTAAATACAAGATGACTCACTACTCCTGAAAGTCCTCAGCCAAGAGTGAAGCTAAAGCAACCGGGCCAAGTTGCCTTTAAAAGCCAAGATAGACAATAGAAACAAAAACACTCAACCAATCAAACAAACAACATACAAACTCTGCTGTCAAGCCAGATTTGCATACAGAGAGCTAAAATCAACATAGATTTAGTCGTTTTAGCAATAGTTCCCTTAGAAAAACTATCTTTTGTCTAGTGTGAAAGCTTTGCTACCTTCCTTAGTGTTGTAGTATCAATTCCCTCATGTAAAACATGTTTACCATCCATCCGTTTTTAGCTTACAACCTCTGTAAACACAAAGAGAAGTGGCTGCAAGAAGTTCAACCTTACCAGACAAGGTGAAATCTTGCCTGAGTCTCTTTGTTTGTACTTTAGCTTAATAGATCTATCGTTTAAATGTACTTTTCAGCATGTATTCAAGTTATTCCCAACTATTTTCTACTTAATACCTCCATTTGCATTCAGAACTGGTCAACTTAATAAACATGTTTTCATTAAGAACGAACTGAAATTGAGGAAATGGTGTAAAGGGCTCTGGACTCCCTCTTTTTGGACATATAAGATTATGAACTAAAAGTCCTTACTTGCAAGGCAAGAAGAAGAACTTAGTGCAGACTTAATCCATCTGTAACAATCATTTGATAACAAGAAGTTTAAGTAACTTGAGGCGCAAGTAATCGGCTTAAAACACACTTGTTCTAAAGGAAGTTTTTTTTGTTTGCTTGCTAAGGTTAGGTAACACATGCTCAACAGCCTGATGGGAACCAGATAATTTATATTCACGCCCTTAATTTAGGTCTCCGCTACCTGTTTACGCAATTCATAACATGGCCTACTGCATATGCTAATTAAAACGCTAATCTTATATATAAAGCCAATGGAAAAGTAAATAGTGATATGGTGTCACCAAGTTTCAACAAAAATATTTGAACAAAACTGCCCCTAAGACAAAAAACTTCAAAGGCATCCCAAAATAATGCATCAAATAAGGCAGGGGCATTTTCGTCATTTTAATAGTATTTTTTAATAATTAATTTTTTGTGCTGTTTTTTATTTATTTTTTATTTTTAATTAGTGTCTCATAATATGTTAGCAAGAATGTGATTCAATTTCTCTTTTTTTAAACACGTTCAAAACATCTTAAGAGGCGTGTAATGTCGGTTATAAAAAAAAAAAGTTCTTCGCACGCAGATAATAATGTGATTAAATTAATTATTAAATGATTGTTTTTTTTTTTAACAAACGATATTATATACACTAAGGGGGAGGGGGTGAGCTTAGCCTCACAATGGGCTAGCAATAATATGATTCAATAAATTGTTTATTAAGTATTATTTTCTCTATTTCAAAACGTTCACAACATCTTAAGAGACGTGTAATGCTGGTTATAAAAAAAATTCTTTCGCACGCGGATAATAATGTAATTAAATTCGTTGTCAAATGATTTTTTTTTAACAAACGATATTATCTACAATAAGGAGGGGTGAGTTTAGCCTCACAATGGGTTAATAATAATGTGATTCAATTAGTTGTTTATTAAATATTATTTTCTCTATTTTTAAACACGTTCAAAACATCTTAAGATGCGTGTAATACCAGTTATAAAAAAGGTCTTTCGCATGTGGATAATAATGTGATTAAATTACATTAAATTAGTTGTCAAATAATTCTTTTTTTAACAAACGATAGTATCTACACTAAGTAGGAAATGGTGGTTTAGCCTCACAATAGGCTAGCAATAATGTGATTCAATCAGTTGTTTATTAAATATTACTTTCTCTATTTTTAAACACGTTCAAAACATCTTAAAAGGCATGCAATGTCGGTTATAAAAAAAGTTTTTCGCACTCAGATAATAATGTGATTAAATTAGTGATCAAATGATTGTTTTTTTTTTTTAAACAAACGATATTAGCTTAGCCTCACAATAGGCTAGCAATAATGTGATTCAATCAGTTGTTTATTAAATATTATTTTCTCTATTTTTAAGCATGTTCAAAACATCTTAAGAGGCGTGTAATGCCGGTTATAAAAAAGATTTTTCGCATGCAGATAATAATGTGATTAAATTAGTTGTCAAATGATTTTTTTAATGTAATAATGTAATTTTTTTTTTAACAAGCGATATTATCTACACTAAGAGGGAGGGGTGAGCTTATGTCACATCACAGACCGACTCCGCCGTAGCACGATATTGTCCGCTTTAGGTCTGGCCACGCCCTTACGGTTTTGTTTCTACGAATTCTGGCGAGAACTTCCCAATGGGTCACCCATCCTAGGATTGCTCTCGCTTAACTTCGGAATTCCAATGGAACCTGAAGTCAGTGTGTTCCCAAAAGGCATCGTGCTATAGGAGGTGGACATGTATATATAAGGCACATCACCCCCTCTCCGTTGGTCGATGTGGGATGTTACAGCTTAGCCTCACAATGAGTTAGCAATAATGTAATTCAATCAATTGTTTATTAAATATTATTTTCTCTATTCTTAATGTAAATTCTATAGAAACTGATTTTATTATGTGAATTCAGCTACTTTAATTTATTTATGAGGGATTTCTTCTAGCATGATCTAAGATTATTCATTTACTTCAAATATTTGACTTTCCTTTTTTCAATTCACGCATATAAATACATTTAAAACGTGTACGCATAGCACGCCGTGATTCATAAAATGCCTTCATCATTTTAATTAGTTGTCAAATGATTTGTTTTTTTAACAAACGATATTATGTACACTAAGGGGGAGAGGGTGGGTGTAACATCTCAAATCGCCCAGGGGAGTGGATCTTGTAAGCCTTATATGTATATTCTCATCTCTACCTAACACAAGGCCTTTTGGGAGTTCACTGGTTTTGGGTTCCATCGGAACTCCGAAGTTAAGTGAGTTCGCGCGAGAGCAATTCTAGGATGGGTGACCCATTGGGAAATTCTCATGTGAGTTCTCAGAAACAAAACTGTGAGAGCTTGGTCGGGGCCCAAAGCAGACAATATCGTGCTATGGTGGAGTCGAGCTCGGGATGTGATGGGGGTCCGGGCCGGGATGTGACAGTGCGCTTAGCCTCACAATGGGCTAGCAATAATATGATTCAATCAATTGTTTATTAAATATTATTTTTTCTATTTTTAAACACGTTCAAAACATCTTAAGAGGCGTGTAATGTCGGTTATAAAAAAAGGTTTTTCGCACGCGGATAATAATGTGATTAAATTAATTGACAAATGATTGTGTTTTTTTAACAAACGATATTATCTACACTAAAGGGGAGGGGGTGGGCTTAGCCTTACAATGGGCTAGCAATAATGTAATTCAATCAATTGTTTATTAAATATTATTTTCTCTATTCTTAATGTAAATTTGATAGAGACCGATTTTATTATGTGAATTCAGCTGTTTTAATTGGTTTATGAGGGCTTTCTTTTACCATGATTTAAGATTATTCATTTACTTCAAATATTTGACTTTCCTTTTGTCAATTTATAGTAAATACATTTAAAACGTGTAAGTCGCACATAGCACGCTGTGATTCAAAAAATATCTTCTGCACGCGCGTGAACGCGTGCATGAAGGCTAATTCTGTATTATGGTTGAAATCAGTCCTAAGAGTCAACGATCGAAATTGGTCACTTGTCCCTACAGCAAACTAGTATTTTACTCAAAACCTTGAGCTATATTATCAAACTTAAAACAAAATTAATAAAGTCGAAGACGTTCGCCTAATAATATATATCGAGATCAACCATTTGAATTATAAATTCTTATGATTAACCAAGGACAATCTTTCATCTGGTATGCACCATTCACTTGTTGTATGTGTTTTAAAATCGTAATTATGGATAAAACGTTCATGTGTAACAGATTTTGAAGAAACAGTGCTTGTCATCTAACCAACCTACCACGTTAAAAAAAAAAGTATTCGCTAAAGTTTTTCTTTTTTGTATGTGAAACTCGCAGGATGATCGAAAAACAAATGCAAATTCACACACAAAAAGTCATAAATTATTGGAAACATAGGTTACTGATTCTTACGTATACGTAACTAGCTCATAGTTGGATCATGACAATTACAATCACATCTAGGATATAAGAAAAATTGTAGTAATAGTCCCTTAACTCTAACTCAATTGGAGCAATGGTCTCTCAATTAAAAATCCATGACCGTTAACTCATCAAAATATGTAGCTATGGTCATTTTCGTCAACTCCGTCAAAGTTCTGTCAAAATGAGTCATGTTTTAAGGATCATTGCTACAATTGAGTTAAAATTAGGGATCATTGCTCCAATTAGGTTAAAGTTGTGGGACCATTTCTCAAATTGGGTTAAAGTTGTGTGTTAAAGTTGTGGGACCATTACTGCAATTTTTTCATTTGGTTTTTTATATTTGCCCATTGATTCAGCCTTACGTGAGCGGTACGTGACTCATTTTGAGTAAAGTTCTAACCGGGTTGACGAAAATGACCATAGCTGCATGTATTTATGAGTTAAATGACCAATAGTCAAAGATTTTTAGTTAAGGGATCATTGCTCCAACTGGGTTAAAATTAAGTGACCATTACTATAATTTACTTAGGATATAAATAAACTATTGCGTGATGAAGTGGTCGAAGACAAATAAATGAACTAAAGTTAGAAACTGAATCATGAATCCCATATATGTTTACTGCTCGTGCTCAGGCTCGAATTTGGAATACAAGAAGTTAATATGCGCTCTGTATACAGGATCCGAATTTGGGATCCTAACATATGAATTTCGAAATATACGCTAAAACTCTCTATAAGGGTAATAAGTTTTTCTTAAAACTAACTAATTTCCTGAATTATGAATTAAAACTACTACAAATGTCTAAGAACGTACATTTTTTGTACAAACGATATTACTAGTGAGAGGTTAAACATAAGACTTGATTGTACAGAAAAATATTGTTACTTACTTGAATTATAAATCTTTATTATTGAATATGTAAATGCAATTAAGTTTGTAAACCAATAATTAACTTAATTTTGATAGTCAAACACCTCATATAAAGTGGAAAACCAGGAACCGGAAGCATTTACTAAGGCGGTTAGGGGTATCCATGCACGCTTTCAACTTTCCAGTCAAACCTCGGTCGCATGATGAAAGTCTGGTGGGTGAGATGTCACGTGTACAACAGCTACATGCCTACTCGAAAAGAAAGAACACATTCTTCACTTACTCTTGCTAGTGGTAGCTAGCAGCAGTATTTTCCCTTCTAAGTTTTGTAGACCCAAGTGGAACCAACTACTCATTTGGTCACACTACTATAAAAGCAACGTTACATTATCAATGCCCCTTAAACCATTGCTTCATCAACCCACCACAAAAAAAGAGTGCAGGGCCTGCATTGTTATCGTAAAAAAAAAAAAAATAAATAAAAAAATAAATAAATCTAGTAATATACTAGCTGAGATAGTATATTCTTGTTGTCGAAAGCCAGCTCCAAAAATGGTGAGTTCTGATTCAGTGAATTCAAGGGTTGAGACCTTGGCCGGCAGTGGAATCTCAACCATCCCAAAAGAGTACATCAGACCTAAAGATGAGCTTGTAAACATTGGTGACATCTTCGAACAAGAGAAGAACAACGAAGGGCCTCAAGTTCCCACCATCGATTTGAAGGAGATAGAGTCTGATAACGAAAAAGTGAGAGCAAAATGCAGGGAGGAGTTGAAGAAGGCAGCTGTGGACTGGGGTGTTATGCACCTTGTGAACCATGGCATCTCTGACGAGCTCATGGACAAGGTCAGGAAGGCCGGTAAGGCCTTCTTTGACCTTCCCATTGAGCAGAAGGAGAAGTATGCCAATGACCAGGCCTCTGGTAAGATTCAAGGCTATGGAAGCAAGCTTGCAAACAATGCATCTGGGCAGCTTGAGTGGGAGGACTACTTCTTCCACTGTGTATACCCAGAGGACAAGCGTGACTTGTCTATTTGGCCTCAAACACCTGCTGATTACATGTAAGTACTTAAAAATCTTAGCATACTTAATTGGTGTCACAATCATAAACCCTAGTCTAAAATTTTAATTATATCTCCAAATTGATTAAAATTGTCAATAGTTATATATATATATATATGTGTGTGTGTGTGTGTGTGTGTGTAAAAGGCCCTCCTCCCCACAAGTAATTCTGGTTCCGCCACTTAACTTTTGTTAACATCAATCTTTAATACCTTGGCAGTGAGGCAACCGCCGAGTATGCTAAGCAACTGAGGGAGCTAGCAACCAAGGTACTGAAAGTTCTGTCACTTGGCTTGGGATTGGATGAAGGGAGGCTGGAGAAAGAAGTTGGTGGACTTGAAGAGCTCCTCTTGCAAATGAAAATCAACTACTACCCAAAATGCCCTCAGCCGGAGCTTGCACTTGGTGTTGAAGCTCATACTGACGTCAGTGCACTCACCTTCATCCTCCACAACATGGTTCCTGGCCTGCAGCTTTTCTATGAAGGAAAGTGGGTCACTGCCAAGTGCGTTCCAAATTCCATCGTCATGCACATTGGGGACACACTCGAGATTTTGAGCAATGGGAAGTACAAAAGTATACTCCACAGGGGCATGGTGAACAAGGAAAAGGTGAGGATTTCATGGGCAGTTTTCTGTGAGCCACCAAAGGAGAAGATCATCCTTAAGCCACTGCCGGAGACCGTGTCCGAGGAGGAGCCGGCAATGTTCCCACCACGAACTTTTGCTGAGCATATTCAGCACAAGTTGTTCAGGAAGAGTCAAGAGGCTTTGCTCCCCAAGTGAAGCGGGTTGTGCTAAATTATAATATTGTTGTGAACTATCGTACTAATAAATCTGTTTATGGCATGGTTGGTATGATACATCTTGGTTTCCATAGTATGTGAGTTTCCTTTTTGCACTTGGCTAAGCTACTCCTGTCTGCCTGCTTTGTTGAATACTATTGATTATATGTCCTTGTACCTGTGATGAATAGCTATTTTCAAGTCAAGATTTCAATATATGGGTACTTTCATTTTCTATGCAACTTGGCATCTTCACGTTTGCATTTTCACAACACATATATTATGATCGAACTGTTTATATATTAATCGTTAATTGTTTAAAGATTATTGTAAACACGGAAAATCCTGCAATGAATGAGACAAGAATACGTGTACAAAATAATATTTGTATTAATGATTTAGGGGTTACAATCTCTTCTACAAATTTAGCCTCTGATTCGATCTTCGTAATGTGTAGATTTGTGGATTGTGCTATTGATCCAAGGGCCTTCGAGGCTTGATCTTAGGATGAACAGGTGATGAACGATGAACGCTTTCTTCAAGGGGCCGTCGGGACTTGATCTTGAATTGGTGGAAGTTCTTCAAGGGTCGTTGGGGCTTGATCTTGAAGGAGGATTTGACGAAGAACGAAGAGAGCTTTCTTGATCCTTCAGGATTTGCTTAGAAGTTTTAAAGTTTCAAAGCTTCAAGGTTTTGGTGTGATGTGAATTGGTGAATTAAAATGAATGCCTTGGCTTCCTATTTATAGAATTCCAAAACTTGATTTTTGGATTTAAATAATCAGATGAAATAAATCATTTCTGCCAAGTGTTGACACGTGTCCTGTTTGATGACTTTTTCGATGATTTTTTATTTCTCGTTGAGTCACGTGCTACATGTAAAATTTATGTGACACATAAACGTTGAAATTTTAATTATTGATCAACATTTATTTCATCGAAATTTCGATATCTACAAATGTCCCTACTTCAAGGTGTGTCGTATACATGTGCTTGTCACGTGTAGAAGATGCGTTTTGAAGTCCTTTAATATAGATGTTGATCTAAGGGCCGTCGAGGCTTGATCTTGAATTGGGCTGGAAATTTCTTCAAGGGCCTTCGGGGCTTGATCTTGAATTTGGTTGGAAGATTTTCTGGTTTCCTCCAATTATTGATTTTCCCCAGGCTTAATCTTGAACTGGGCTAAAGGGTTTTCTAGTTTCCTCCAAAAGTCTGAACTTACTCCTTTTATGTGGAGCTGAATTTGATTCAAGGGTGGTGGACACTTGATTTTGAATCGGACTTGTGATTTCTTTAAGGGCCGTTAGGGCTTGATCTTGAATTTAAATAGGACTCCACGAGCAGTTTCAAGATTCGGACACATGGCAAGCAGGCACAAGGTGAAGATGAAGGTTTATTTCTTTGTTCAATCTTTCCAATTCATACCTGAGCAGTTTGGTTAACGGTATGATCTTCAAGGGTAGTGGACACTTGATCTTGAATCGGACTTGTGATTTCTTAAAGGGTCGTCGGGGCTTTGCTCTTCAGCGACAATGCCAGCAAAAAGCTGTTGAAGCTTCTCGAGCTCTTTGATTATAGCAATGATGGCGGGCGTGGATTTGACTTAGACTCATCTGTTTGGATTATGCAGTTCTACCGAGAAGGGTGTCCTGCTATAATGATTTGTTCCAACTTATCATGCTGCATTCTTCTCTGCTTGTTTCTTTTGCATAGCAGAAGTGGTGCACAACCTTTTGCCTTTAAATGGTCCTTCAGAGTATCACTTCTCAGTGACTCATCCATGCTTGGCAGCTTCAGTGTAAAGAGCCAACATTACATCAACCATCTTGAAGTATTTGCTGAGGAAATTTAAGACCCGTCAACAGTTGAAGATGAGCACTCGAGAGCAATGCTAGGTAAGCAACCAGGAAAAGGTTCTGGGCAATTAGTTATAGATCAGAAGTTTGATTTTAGGTTTTGACTGATTGCTTTCTTTCTCATTGTCTTGCAGGTAAGAGCAAGGACAAAGGGAAATACTAGGAAAAAGCATGATATGAGATACATTTGCTTTCAACCCTGATGATATGAGATACTTTTGCTTTTGAAGAAGTAGCGGATGAATCAGCATATGTATTTGTTGCGCTTGTCTCCACATGCTTCGATGTATCATTTTCAACTGCCTTATATGTTCTCCAGACATCAACAGTTGAAGATGAGTACTTGAGAGCAGTGTTAGGTAAACAATCAGGGAAAGGATTTCAAGCAGTCGGTTCCTGACTGGAAGCTTGATTCCAAGTGCCGATTAATTACTCTCTTTCTCCTTGTCCTGCAAGGAAGAACAAGAACAAAGAAAATGACAGGGAGAGAGAGCATGCTATGAGATACTCTTGCTTTCCACCCTGATGTTATGAGATACGTTTGCTCTGGTGTGGCTTGGTTGAAGAGGTATTTTCAGGGAGGAAGAAAACTGAGTATGTTGAGAGGTTTGGTCGCAGATGTATTCTTGGCAAGGAAAAAGAGTCAAGCATTTTGGATGTGTGCCTTGCCATGGAGGATGAAGGTCGACCTACATAGGGATTTCTTAATAGCTGGTAATGGTGTGGATGTGGCCTTGTCACCCACGCTTGTCGGTAAAAGTGTGGTAGTTGGAATAGTGAACTTCATGCGTTTTCAACTCTATCAGATATCTTTGACAAAGTTGCACGTGTTATCCAACAAGCTGAGATTGCGTCTGAAAAGTGTTGACGGACTTTATACAGGAAAATCTGGCTTTTGAAATTTGGAAAGTGGTGTCTCTTCGATTTTTTGAACTGATGGGCTTGTTACCTCTCCTTTTATAGAGGTATTGATCACATCCAACATGCACACTTTGAAGATTACCCGTTCGTGAAAATTGTCTCTGGTGTATTTCTAATATTTTACTCCGTCCAACCCTTTTCTTTTACCATTTTTGAAAATGGCTTACCCGTCTAATGTTTGTTTAGATTTGAGTCTTGGGAACGATACAGGCGCGCCGCGTCAGAGAAATATATGGTGCCCATCCTTCTTATCTTCGAATGACCCTCTTACAGTTGAAGACTCCATGATGAGGGATGCAACAATGGCTACGGTAATAGCTAGGAACTTCCTCACTCCTAATATAATAGGCTGCTTTCAAGATGGTCCGATAAGTTAGTTGTCCAAGACTCCCTGGCTCTCAGTGTTCAGTGTGCAGGCTTTGTGTCTAATATGGGCTAAAGCCTACTTGCTCAAACTCGCCAAGTTGAATCATTAACGATCGAGGTGGAAAATCTTAAACAAGAGATCAGACAGCTCAAGCGCGAGAATAGAGATTTGCACATGCTTGCAAATAATTATTCGACGAGCATGAAGAGGAATCTTTATCAGCTGCAGGACTCCGAAGGTCGGATTCAAAGTGACCATCAGAAGTTTGTGGCTACATTCAAGAGGCATTTTTTGCCTTCGCCATCTAGAGTTCGACTAAGTATTGAGGCGCCACATGAGCAACCTTTGTGAAGGCTCCATTTTTTTTTTCTTTCTTTCTCTTTTTTTATTTATTTTTATATTTTTTATATATTTGTAATTTCTCAGAGATATCAATAAACATGCTTTATTTCATTCAGTGTATTATGCTAAATACAAATAAAACATATATCTCACTAAGATGTATTACTTCCTTTTTTTTTTCTTTTCTTTTTTTTAGATGGTGCCTGATGCACCATCCTTCCCATTTTTTGTTTCTATGTTTGAATGATTTTGTCGCCACCATCCCTTTTTTTTCTTTCTCTCTTTTTGACTTTCCAATAGTAGCATGCAATTGTGAGTGGCTTAAAGATGGCACAGTTGTTCCTCAGCTGCATGGGATGAAAGGCAGCCACCTACAGCGGAAGAGGAGAAGCTGGAGGTATTGAGGTAGTGCAAAGCATCAAGCTTCATGATCGGCTAGTCGTTTGACAGCGATTGTTGAAGTTCTTCGACTATTCAAAGGCAACAGCAAACGCAAGAAGACGAATGAGGTCTTTGGGTGTGAGTTGACAAACTTTGGTTTTGTTGATCACATTCAAATGCAGCAGCCATGGTGGAGGTGTAGAAGCAGCTAGAGCTTGAGGCAGAGTATAAGGCATTGAGCTTCACAATCGGCCAGTCGTTTGACGGCAGTTACTGAAGTTCTTCACCAATGAGCGGGTACTTGAAACAGACGTCATCGTTAGAGGTGTCGCAGAAGAGGAAGTCGAGGGCGAGAGCACAACCTAACTTGCTCCAGGTATGTGCACCATGTGCAACAAGTGGGGTTTGGTGGAGAGGATGATGCTCTTCTTGATTGGGCGGAAATGCATGATAGCAGAGCTTTGTGGAAGTTTATTCACTTGAGGTTTCGCTGGAATAATGTTCCAGGATGTGGAGTGGAATTGAGGACTGCAAGAGTTTCCATCGAGGGCAAGGACAGTGAGGAAGGTCCTGGTACTGGAAGAAGTTGCTGCTGCTGATGTTGGATAGATGGGTAGAAAGAGAGGGCTTGAAGTGGAGGAGTTACAGGGGAAGACGAGGAGCGAAACTGGATGAAGAACTCGGTTCTTTTGAATCTGAGCAGCAAAACAAGACCTTTAGAGTGTCTTTAGAAACCTTTTCCTCTCTGTTGCTGCCTTCGGTCTTGAAGGAACCCACCACGGACTTAACGGGGGAACTCAGGGCCTAGTTGGAGTCGAGCTTAGAGCTAGAAGTCAGGTCTGGTCACCATCGGTAGTTATGGGTCATCACCGAGAGCAGGAACGTTCTGAAGGCCGTTCGACTTGATGGTTTGGATCATAAGGTATAGCAGCAGCGTCAACAATATGAAGCCAAGAGACACAGGATTCTGGAGAGCAGTGCTTACGAGCTTGGTGCGCCTGATGGAGCGGAATCCTTTACTCCGGAGCTCGGCTTTGGTGATGGCGTCGACCTCGATGAAGCTAAAGAGAGAGTAGGGTCAGCGTGCGAAACAGTGGATTAGGGCCCTGAGGATGATGCATCTTTGTCGGGAGGC